AAGTATCTGCTACTTCATCCCTGCCTGACTGGTGCGCTGATTGTCATCGCAGAAAAGACTATGCTAGCTGATTTAACTGAGAATGTTCCTTTTTCATCATACTAAATGCTGTGCTACTAGTAAATGAGAGAAAGAATGCGATGAATCGTGTGAGCATGCATGCATGGTTGTAGTAACTTGTGTATAAAGATACAGACTGGTGTTGCCTAATAAAGTTCATGACTGTGATTGCACCACCGTAAAGCGCATTGTCGTTAGTTTCACTTTTGCTTGGCTTTGGTGCATGCAATGGTTGCCTTTGCCTTTCTGAAAAAGAAGAGGGAAAGAGCTGCCCATCTTTTCTTCTTCTTTTTTCTTAAAAAAAAAGAGCGCAAGGCCTGAAATGTGAAATCTGTCCAAGTTTAATTTGTCCTCTCCCCTATCTTCTTCTCCCTGTATTTTTTTTATTGGACGACTATGGACGATGCAATACATATTTATTATATATATGCTGTAGTGCTTTCTTGTGGCCAGCAAATCAGCTCATGGTGTGATATATATACCTTCTCTGAGAAATTTAAACCTACTACACTACATATAGCTGACACTGACATAGCTGATTTTTACGTGCCAGCTGGTTGAAAATGTATTATATATTTCCAGAACTATTTATTATGTTTTTGTTTTTATTTTATCTAAAGGGGCAAAAGTCCATTGCTAATGATGTTTGGTTCTGTGTTTTGAACAATAACTCTGGATTGAAATGTCAATTTCAGCATGAGTACTTCCGCACGCTAAGCTATCTTTGGTGGGCATTAATGCCTACCACTTCCGTGCGCTATATATACATAACCACACTCCAAATTAAAGGTGGATCGTCAGAGAAAATGTCAAGGTTGTTGTGATTGCCAACTTATCACTCATCGTCATCATCATGGAACATGGATGATAGTGGATTCCTTGAGCGAGAGCCGCTGATTGAGCTACAAATGACGCAAGTACAATGCATATGATTTTCAACTCAATTAATTGCGTCCATCGTCTCCTGGCCTCTTAATAAAAACAAATTATTGGAACACCGATTGCGAGTTGTTTTCAGCTGTCACTGGGAGTATAATCAAACTCCCCTGATCTTGTTTGTGGCCTACATGTTGTGTACTACTAAATCTTTCTGTTGATCTCTTCTTCTTCTTCTTCTTCTAGTCCACGTAGCTGGCTTAATTGCTTATCTGCGTACAACAACAGCTTTATATATATATATATATATATATATATATATATATATATATATATATATATATATATATATATATATATATATATATTCAGTAGCCACTACAAAATAAGTTATTCTGTAGCCACCTCCATTTACAATAATTGTATATACTAATTTACGATAATGTCAATACATATTTACGATAGTCGGGTTACTATAACACATGTGGACATTTACCATAACGTTACAGTAAACCACTTAGTAAGAATTTACTATAATCTCGTAAATTAATATAGTAATTATCATAACTCAAAGTGACTATAAAATAAGTTATTTTGTAGCCAGCTACAGAGTAGTATATCTATCTATCTATCTATCTATCTATCTATATATATATATATATATATATATATATATATATATATAAGCAGCTGGGAGGTCGTATCCTCCATGGATCACCGGCCGGTACACAGCTAGCTAGCTCTGAAACTAACGCTAATGAAATATGACTGGGACAGCTGCAGGGTCGCATACTCACATGTACATTCCATCTGCCTGCCAAGCAGTAGTAGTTTATTGATTGGAGGAGGCTAGTAGCTAGGTTTGTTGAGGCTTATCAGCCCGGTTTATCAATTATGGAACAATGTTTTTCTTTCTCACGGCAAAGCAGCATCAACCAGCTTATCTTGCATATAGATCACGCTCAGGAGTAGTAATCAGAAATTTAGAACGCATGATCGACCTGTGAAATCCTCATATTAATTAATTGGATCGTATCACTTTCTCTTGATTGTACCAACATCGTTAGATCGATCAACATATGCAGTTGAGAACGATCAAGCGGTAGGTATATAGCCGCAACAAGCAAACTACACTTGTCCGTCCTCATTTTTCCATCACATGCGCATATTTTTTTTTTATTAACTATGCTGTTCATCAAGAAACAAAAGGAAGTATATATACCGAATATAACGATTAACGACAAATAAAATAAAATTCACATGTACTCGGTATCAGTTAAGTTTGATTTGCCAGCTAAAAAATGCCGATTGATGTGTAGCATGTGCAGACAATGGGTATTATATTGTTTTTGATGCTGCTTCACGTACATGTCATTTGTGACCTACCGGTACCGCACGCTATCTTTCTATTCTACCAGCACCATGACCAAAGCAGGACAGATGGCGCCAAGGGACAAGCAGAACCGATCCATCCCAGGCAGGGGCCAATGTAATACTAGATTGATATAGCAGCTGTCATTTTTAATTTGACCTTAATTAGCTTTTTTTATTGCATGATCGAGTAAGAGGCCACATCAACATAGGTACACGCAGTTTGACCTAATCTCCCACAAACTTGCTATCTTTGGCCGATGCGCGCCACGTGCCCATCTCTAACTCGACGATGCTTCCAATTCTAATCTAATCTAAAGAGGAAAATTTAAGAAAATGCGAGGGTGCTATTCCGGCAGATTGGCATCCATCAAGGCCAGCTTCCCGGCCATTATATTCATCATATTCTTTTTGTTTTGTTTACTTTGTTCGTTCCAAAACGTAGGTTGATTTAGGTTTGTTTTATGTTAAACTTCTCTAATTTTAGCCTAAAGCGTATATATACAAGAAGTATATTGTTACATCTAAACACCAACTAAGGGTGCGTTTGATAGGGATTCAAATTCCCTTAGAAACGTTTCGGATTTAGATTCTCTCAAGAAGCGTTTCATGTGCTGAATCAAAATCACTTTTTTGAGATCATTTGGTTGATAGGCTGGATTTTGATTCACATGAAGATATATATTTCCTTAAAAACATATAAATAAAAATATGCTTCAAAAAATTCTAAACTTTTTTGTGGGTGAAGAATAAATTAAACACAAGACATTTTCATTTGTTGCACTATAAAGGATTAGAACCGAAAAAAATAAAATCAGTTGCTTAGAAGTGAGTCAAAGAATTTGAAACGATTCTACATGAAACCACAATGTCTCAGTTTCTAATTTTGTTAAAGAAAACACGAAACTGAAACGTTTCGGATCCATGTAGCATAACACCGTTTGGAGCCGTTTCCAGTGATTCACGCGAGAAACGAATTAGATTCTCACATCCAAATACGTTCTGAGGGCCTGTTTGGAATGAAGGAATAGAAAATACAGGAAAGAGATAGGAATACAATGACAAAACAGAGGAATGTAAGAACGTAGGAATTTAGTTGGAGCTAGTGTTTGGAACACAGGAATATGAATTGTGGGCCCATTCAACAACTACCCCATAGATCAACATTGATGTCTCTTAAATATACTATAGTTTGGGCGCAAGAACGTGACGAGCTTGCGGCCCGCCAGAGATTTGTCTTGGACTTCGTGAATGAAAAACAAAGATTGTAGGGCCTCTTTGGAATGCGGGTTTTTTCTCTATTCTGCGCGTTTTCCTGTGAAATTGAACTGATTTCTGTGAAATTCTATATGTGATTCTGTGAAATCTCTGTATTCCAAACAGGCCCGTAGTGGAGTTTTTGTTTCCTCCAGAACCTTTCCTATGGAAAGGAATGAAGCAATCATTTGTTCCAAACACTACTACAGGAGTCAAACTATAGGAAAGCTGATTCCTTTACAATTTCTTTGAAAATCCTACCATCCAAACAGGCTCTAAATATACCATAATACAAGGGCATACATTTAAAAAAAAACTACACACACCCAACCAGAGTCAGCAGTACGGCCCGTACAGGCCGACAACGGAGTAGTCATGGCGGTCACTGATGCCACCACCACCGCCTTTGGAATCGCTGCAGTTTGTTTGTCTGCTTCTGCCTGTTCGTTGGAACGAGATCAAATTTTGCTAGCATTGCAGCTGCAGTTGCTGACGCAAATGGAATCGCTGCAGTTTGTTTATATAGAATCGCTGTTTCATTAGGCGCACAAACTGAATCAGAGAGAGTTGCTCAGCTAGCTAGTTTTTTTTGTGTGTCTAATAATGAAAGAATGGTCATAATGGTGTGTGGTCTGGCACTCTGGCTGATTAGCTGTTGTTAGTGCTCCAGCAAAGTGATAGCCTCACACGTTAGCCGTCAGAGCTAGTAAATAGTATTACAGGTTAATTGCAACAGTGCAATGCAGGTATCTGGGATGTGCAAAACAAACGCAGAAAAGCCACATGTCGAATTCCTCCTCCCCTCGCTTCTCATCTCATCTCATCTCATCTCAACAAGAGAAAAGCACACTTTGTTAAAAAAGACATCTTTATGAGTGAAGGACTGAAGGGTGTCCACTGTGCAGCTAGATGTCCAGACCAGAGAGAGGATGGGACAGCTAAACCAAGCACAGCTGCACAGCATAGTCTGTCCAACAGGCAACAGTAGGATTTTCCTTTTGCCATTTCCTTGCTACTCCACCAGACAAGAGAGTGCTCTACATGTTTTTCTCCCTTCCTTTTTATCCGCTTGGTTTCCTTTGGCTCCACATTCTTTTTCTTGGCCTTGGCGAATACCATTCCCATGTGTGTGTTGCCGTTGTGGACTCCCACTCCCCTGTCTGTCGCCTGACACCTTCTTCCTCGCACGCCCTCATCCCCACCACCAACCTCATCCCATCCCGCCCTCGCACTTTCACCCGCCCGAATCCATCCATCCGTCTGTGCACGGGCTGAAAACCAACCCACATTCACCAGCGAGCAAGCTCCCTCCCGGCTCTCCTCCGGCCGCCTTGTTCTTGTTTGCGTATAAATCTGGAACTGCAAGGGGGAACCACCACCACACCAGTAGGACAGCGGGAGGGAGGGAGGGAGATCCGTGAGGAGGTGACGCCCCCATGGCTGAGAAGGAGGGCAACCTCGAGGCCGTCCTCAAGGAGGCCGTCGACCTGGTATGCGTCTCCTCCTTTTCTTTCCCCACGAATTTTTGTGTGTGCTGTTGCACGACGTCTTGTTGGGAAGAGAAAAAAAAAAAGCTTGCGCCTTTCTAGCCTCCTTTTCCTAGACTAGATTGCCGTTTCTCTTCTACGAAATTCGCATCTCTCTAGTCTAGCAAAAAAAACATGTATGCTTGGTTTGTGGTCCTTGTTCTCCGGATTCCCGAATTCTAGGTGACTGACATTTTGGCATAGTGATGTTTCATTTCTCTACCTACCTAGCTGTTTCTCAAATCTGCTTCCTTCATCACTTCTTCTTTTCGGTTCTCTCTAGGAATTGCTACATCCTAGAGAGACGTAGAGACATTGAGGCATATTACTCGTTACATGTAGTACTAGTAGGCAATTTTCTCAAAAAAAGTTGTGCCAAGGAATTGTGCTGCTCTACTCAACTGACGCTGCTGCTTTTCCTCTCTGCAGGAGAACATCCCCCTCGAGGAGGTGTTCGAGAATCTGAGATGCAGCCGCGAGGGTCTCTCCACTCAGCAGGCGCAGCAGCGCCTCGAAATCTTTGGCCCCAACAAGCTCGAGGAGAAGGAGGTTTGCTTTCACTCACGTCACTACTACTTGTGTTTTTCCCCCCAACTTTGCTGGAGAAAACACATGTAATAATTGCTTAAAGCTGGGATTTTGATGGCCGCAGGAGAGCAAATTCCTCAAGTTTTTGGGCTTCATGTGGAATCCACTCTCCTGGGTCATGGAGGCTGCAGCAATCATGGCCATTGCCCTTGCCAATGGAGGGGTAAGACACACAAACCTACTAACAGGCTTCAAATTCCATTTTCAAGCTCTTTTCCTTTGGTACCTTTATTTATGGTTGGTGTATTCTAAGCTGCGGTTGTCTTGTGATTATGCCATCAGGGGAAGCCACCAGATTGGCAGGACTTTGTTGGTATCATAACTCTGCTTGTCATCAACTCAACAATCAGTTTTATCGAGGAAAACAATGCTGGTAATGCTGCTGCAGCCCTCATGGCTCGTCTCGCACCTAAAGCCAAGGTTTGTCAGTGACACACCTCTATGCAGTTCGGCTATGCTCCCAAGGAAGGCTTCATGTGTTTGCTGAGCCCTTCCAAAAAGTTTGAACTGACTTTCCTTTCTTCAGGTGCTTCGTGACGGTCGATGGACTGAGGAAGAGTCAGCCATTCTTGTACCAGGAGACATTGTCAGTATTAAACTCGGAGACATTATACCTGCAGACGCACGCCTCCTTGAGGGGGATCCTTTGAAGATCGATCAGGTTCGTCACATTGTCATCACTTGTTACAATAACTTAGCCTTTGATGAGCCCTAGTGATCTTTTTCCACATAACTTCTCTTGAGTTGTAGTCTGCCCTGACTGGAGAGTCACTGCCGGTCACCAAAGGTCCCGGTGATGGTGTCTATTCTGGTTCGACGGTCAAGCAAGGTGAAATTGAAGCTGTTGTGATTGCCACCGGTGTTCACACTTTCTTCGGAAAGGCTGCTCACCTTGTTGACTCCACAAACCAAGTTGGCCATTTCCAGAAGGCAAATATCGGACACCCTATCTCCTATGCATGTATTCTGGACTGAATTGTCAATGTACTTCGTTGCTTACATTATATCACTTGGTTGGTGCAGGTCTTGACGGCTATTGGGAACTTCTGCATTTGCTCAATTGCTGTGGGGATGTTTGTTGAGATCATTGTCATGTATCCTATCCAGCACAGGGCATACCGCCCTGGGATCGACAACCTCCTCGTCCTTCTCATTGGAGGCATCCCCATAGCCATGCCGACAGTCCTATCTGTAACTATGGCTATTGGGTCCCATCGTTTGTCTCAACAGGTTCATATATGGATCATAATATCCATTGTGTTTCTGTTTCCCTTGAATCTTTGTTGATATATTTAACAATTTAAATAATGTTTCTCTAGGGAGCTATCACAAAGAGAATGACTGCAATCGAGGAGATGGCTGGCATGGATGTTCTTTGCAGTGATAAAACAGGAACTCTGACCTTGAACAAGCTTACTGTGGACAAGAACCTCGTTGAGGTGAGACAAAAACAACTATTTCTAATATTCTCTTAGCTCTCTCATGTCTGTTTTAAATAACTTTAAATTTGTCAATGCAGGTTTTTGAAAGGGGCATTACTCAGGACCAAGTGATTCTCATGGCTGCTAGAGCATCTCGTACAGAAAACCAAGATGCTATTGATACTGCTATTGTTGGGATGCTAGCTGATCCTAAAGAGGTATGTAGCTTTGTTATAGGCTCGAAGCAGAGAATCATGATTATGTTACTTACTATGATGAGATGGCTCTTTGTCCATGTTTTCGTGAAGGCACGCGCTGGCATCCAAGAAGTTCACTTCCTGCCATTCAATCCTACTGACAAAAGGACAGCACTGACATATATTGACGGCGATGGGAAAATGTATCGTGTTAGTAAGGGTGCACCTGAGCAGGTACAACAAAAATCAAGAATTAACCAGTGATGTCTTGATATCTCACCATTGCCTGATGAAAGCATTACATTTGGATTTGTTTATCATTGCATAATGCATGCATATAACCTCACGCCATATACTCTATAAATTGGATGCAGATTCTCCATTTGGCTCACAACAAGTCAGAGATAGAGAGGAGGGTCCATGCTGTGATTGATAAATTTGCAGAGCGTGGACTTAGATCTCTTGCTGTAGCATATCAGGTGAGAAGACAATGGAGCTTCTATCTTGTCTTGCTATTTGCATTGCACTGACCACAAGAATAATATCAGCATCTTAGGTCCTTTTTTTTTGGTGAAAATGTCCATTTTGTTTTAAAGAAATGTGAGGTCCATTTGTCTATCACTTGCACCACTTGCATAGTTTCACCAGTTTTATGCCTATGTTGTCTTAGCGGTAAACTGTTGTGTTTTTCTTATGTAGGAAGTACCTGAGGGGAGGAAAGAAAGTCCTGGTGGTCCATGGCACTTTGTTGGTCTCATGCCACTTTTTGATCCTCCAAGACATGACAGTGCTGAAACAATTCGGAGGGCACTCAACCTTGGTGTGAATGTCAAGATGATCACTGGTATACTGCCAACTGAATATTATCAAAATGATCACACTTTCTATTTATTCAGCTCAATGTTTCTCAGTGTCTATACCTTCGATATAATCCTATCCAGTATTCCAGTTATAGAAGTATAGAACATATCCTGATAGAAGTACACTGTTGCCTTGTGGTGGGCTGGTGGCTTCATTACACTGACAATACTATTATTTGTCTCTCTTGGTCCCAGTGTTTTGATTTATTTTCTAATGTTCAGGTGATCAGTTGGCAATCGGAAAGGAAACAGGACGCCGTCTAGGAATGGGTACAAATATGTATCCTTCTTCTGCTTTGTTAGGGCAGAACAAGGATGAGTCTATTGCTGCTTTACCTGTTGATGATCTCATCGAGAAAGCCGATGGTTTTGCTGGTGTATTCCCTGGTATGGTTTAGGAGGAATAAATATTGTTGGGAAGAGGCATAAATTTTTTATCCTGGATTAATTGAGTTATTATTTTTCTCCAGAACATAAGTATGAGATCATGAAACGTCTGCAAGCACGGAAGCATATCTGTGGAATGACTGGTGATGGAGTAAATGATGCTCCAGCCCTGAAGAAAGCTGACATCGGTATTGCTGTTGCCGATGCAACTGATGCTGCAAGGAGTGCTTCAGATATTGTCCTCACAGAACCAGGACTTAGTGTGATCATTAGTGCTGTGCTTACTAGTCGTGCTATTTTCCAGCGTATGAAGAATTACACGGTATGCTAGAAGTTGAAATGCTCTCAGCTGTGCTATGTTTTTCCTTGTGCTAATTGACTAATGCATTTTTATTATGTCAGATCTATGCTGTCTCGATCACCATTCGTATTGTGGTAAGTCTTATATGTCTGTCAGTACTTCCAAGCTGATTCTGTTTGGGATTAAATTTCTACTGGATTCAACAGAAGCAAAACCGTCTATGATATTCCCATGAATCCTACAATATTGCTAGAATGTTACAATATTGCTTGAAGGTTTAACTATCACTTTTTCCCTTAATCTTGACAGCTTGGATTTATGCTCCTTGCCCTCATTTGGAAATTTGATTTCCCCCCATTCATGGTCCTAATCATTGCAATTCTAAATGATGGTACTTTCCTCCTTCTGTCTTTGAAAGAAGTTGAAGTAGAAACCCAAAAAGGTTATAATGCTATTCGACCATTTGATGTGATGAATAGGTACCATAATGACTATATCAAAGGATCGTGTAAAACCATCCCCACTACCCGACAGCTGGAAGCTGGCTGAAATTTTCACAACTGGAGTTGTCCTTGGTGGATATCAAGCAATGATGACTGTCATCTTCTTTTGGGCTGCATACAAGACAAACTTTTTCCCAGTAAGATTCTTGCAAATGGTTAACTGCATTTGGATTTTGATGAATCTTAGTTCAGTTGAAAATTTTATTCTTAACACCGAGGATTGGCTAGAGAATGTTACTTTTAGGGCCTTATTTTTGCTTATTGGTGTGAAAATATTACAGAAAATATTTCATGTTGAAAGCCTTGAGAAGACAACTCAAGACGATTTCCAAAAGCTTGCCTCTGCTGTTTACCTGCAAGTCAGCACCATCAGCCAAGCCCTCATCTTTGTGACAAGGTCCCGGAGCTGGTCATTTGTCGAGCGCCCAGGGTTTCTACTGGTCTTTGCTTTCTTGGTTGCGCAGCTGGTGAGCTCTTACTCACTTTCCTTGTGAACTGCTTCATCAGGAGTTAAGTTGCATTGAGCTAAAATGTCCCGTTTAATTGCAGATTGCTACACTGATTGCTGTGTATGCTGACTGGGCATTCACTTCGATCAAAGGCATTGGGTGGGGCTGGGCTGGTATTGTGTGGCTTTACAACATCATCTTCTACTTCCCGCTCGATATCATCAAGTTCCTTATCAGATATGCTCTTAGCGGGAAAGCGTGGGATCTTGTCATTGAGCAGAGGGTAATAAACTAGTAATATGTGCTGCACATGTGTCAATCGGAGTGTTGAGTACCATGAGCGTGTGACTTACTTACATCATCATTCTGTAGATTGCGTTCACAAGGAAGAAGGACTTCGGTAGGGAGGAGAGGGAGCTGAAGTGGGCACATGCACAGAGGACCCTCCATGGGCTACAGGCACCTGATGCCAAGATGTTCCCAGAGAAGGCTGGGTACAATGAGCTGAACCAGATGGCTGAGGAGGCGAAGAGGAGGGCCGAGATTGCAAGGTAAGATCGCAAACCACTTTGTTCCTGAATACAACGAGCAGTAGTTAGTGCTTTCTTATGTGTGCTAGTCTTTACGCGGTTAGGCCCACCCCTGTTCCTTTCCTTTTCATGAATGCATTATTACTACTGATAGATGCTTTTGTGGGGTGAAAAGTGCCTTTTTGCGGTACTGGTAGGCAATAGTTAGAAACATCTTTAAAGTTGCTTGACAATGATGCGTATTGGATTCATGATTGTTATGTTACAGGCTGCGGGAGCTTCACACACTCAAGGGGCATGTGGAGTCTGTTGTGAAGCTGAAGGGGCTTGACATCGAGACCATCCAGCAGTCCTACACAGTGTAACTTTGCCTGTCCAGAAGAAGTTTTGTTTTCCCCTCTCTTTTGCCCACCGACGTGTGAATTTGATGGTGGCTGGCTTCTCTTTGTTTTGTTTATTTAACCGAACCGCAAGCACCGACAAGTACCTGAAATGAGACAGATCCCTCTCTGTAATCCCTGATTTCTGTCTTCTCCTCACATGGTATGACAATCAATTTATGAACTTTGCTCGGCTATATAAATAAGTGCTTGAAGGGGAGAGCACAGAGTTTTTGGCCACTGATGGGAATGGGTGCATGTGCATGCTTGTTTTCAGAAAGAGAAATTATGTGTTTCTTCCTCCTTTTCTCTTGCTGTCGAATTCAATTCAACCTGACCTGCCAATGATGGATCGATCATATGGGGGCAAAGGCCTTGATTAGTTCTAAAAAGTTTTCCCAAAAAGTAAGTGCTGCAGTATCCATTACATCGAATCTTGTGAGCATAGAACATTAAATGTAGATGAAAAAAAAACTAATTGCACAGTTTGGTGGGAAATCACGAGACGAACGTTTTGAGCCTAATTAGTCTATGATTAAACATTAATTGTCAAATAAAAACGAAAGTGCTATCGTAGCTAAATTTTCAAATTTCGCGGAACTAAACAATGCCTTTGGCATTGCCAGTCAGATCACAAACTCGTATCGTTCATTGGCTGTGTCCTGTCTGTGTGTGGCATGTGAGCTTCAATAAATGAATGCCTGCCTGCACCTGCACCTGCACCTGCATGCGTGGAGGTGAGCTTGAGATGCAGATGCTTCCTCCCTGGAATAATGTGGTTTTGCTTCCAGATCTGCAGATCTGTTACATGTAGACTGTAGTTAGGTCTCATATGTTGCCTGCTGCCAAAGATGCAATGCAAGATGGCTGCAACTGGCTGGGGCAGGCTAGGCCAGCTGCTAGATTTGTGTGGACAAATCTTTTTCTGAGCTGTGTATGATTCACTGTGGACTACTTGGGAGGAGTTGAAAGTCAAGACGACAAGACCCTTGTAGCGATGGCGCCATGTATGATTCACTGTGGACTCGTGCATCGGTGACCTTGTCGGTTCACTGCTTCACAACGTCTGTCTGCATGGTCAAGGATGGTGGCTGCCACAACTTCTTTTTCTTTATTTATTATTTTATTACGGAACTGGATAACACTATGTCACTGATCTTTCCAATGCGGATACACTATACAGTGCGTTCATATGGCATTAGAGCAACTGAGCAAAGGACAGTTAAGGGCTATAAGACTATCTTTAACAACATCATCTAAAATACAAGACAAATTCCACGTTTAGGTAGCGTCATAAGCAAAGGGCTCAATACCCATTTTTTGTCTTCTCCAACAACAGGACTCAAAAGATAACCCTTTCTATAAATGAATCTAGAGGAAGTCTTCAGGAGAGATGATACTCATATTTAGGTTATGCCTCTGTTGTAATATAAAATGGGTCTCATATATAGGTATTATGTTGGAGACTAATATAGTACCATCCACAATCCATTTTGGGTTTGGGTATCCATATGGATCATCCATTGGAGACAGTCTAAGTGGGCTGAATGCTGAGGAGAGGGAGAGGAGAAAAGAGAGAGCGAGGAGAAACGAGTTGTAAGTTTACAGCGAGTTTAGACATAGAAACCAAAAAAGAATGCGAGAGAGGTGGTCATATGTGAATTAACTATTATATGAGTAAGCTAATACATATAGATAGAATATAAGTGTCTAAATAGGACTGTATTATTAACCTTAATCTAAGAGGTGTCGTGATGTTATCTAGGCACACAGGATGACGACTATTTGGGTCATCGCAGTAGGCCGGCCTGATTTGTAATGAGGCCCACCTCCAGTGATCCAACTGGTATCACTGAAATCTGGTCCACCTACAGTGATCCAACTACCCTCTCCATTGCTACACAGGAACTGTTTCTAGGTACACGGGCATGCCACATGTCTAACGTTGTGGAAGCTGGAAGGGACACACAAATCCTAGTTATGGAAAAATGATGGAGATACCAAAGGAGAAAATCTATATGCGAGTGTTATACTTGGAAAGCAACAAAAATGTGTGGGGCACAGTGTTACAAATCCTAGTTACTACTCCCTCCTGTCATAAAAAAAAACATATCGGTTGACAAGATTTGATCATGTCTTAAAAACTACAAACATCAATAACTCTAAATTATTTAGTTTGGAAACATGCAAATAGATTTGTATTTAAATATACTTACAAAATCTCTTAAATTCGAGGGATATTAATAATACATTTAGAAGAAATTAGTAGTCAAATTATGACCAATATTTTTTCCTCGGGAGGGTACACAGAAAAGGTCGGTGGACAGCTTTTTTTTTTGGGACGCCGATAAGGCGCGACACACGCGTCGCGCGCGACGCCAGGTCAGGTCCCTCCAGCTTGCGCGCGAGCCTGAGCCTCACAGGCGGTCACTTCCACTTGCGTGATGCATGGCGCCCGACAGCCCTGCTACTCTGCATGTCATGCTGACGCAAACCAAAAAACGAAAAAAATTCTTTCAATTGTTATAAGTTTTGAATATTGTATCTGTTTTCAATTCCGCCTACACCGATATGTTCTACGTGATGAGATGAACAAAACTAGACATCACTTGCATATGTTTCAAAGAATTTTATTTTAATAACAATTTATGTGTAAATATACGTTATGAGATTTATATATAAATTACTACATGTAATGCTAAAGCTGATACTAAAAAATATACTAAAGTTTTTCAGTTTCTGCGATAAGCAGACGAGTCGAGTGATTACAGCTGATGCTCCATCACTCCCTTGCACGTTTCCAAAAACCTTTTTTTTTTTAAAAAAAAAAGCTATAACTTTTAAACTATGTATCTGTTTTCAAATTCGTCTGCACAGATATTTTTACATGACGAGACAAACAAAACTAGACCCCTCTTGACTATGTTTCAAGAAATTTTAATTTAGTAGCAATACATGTGTAAAAATATGCTATAGATTTATGAAAGAAGTTGCTACCATGTAATACTAAACTTGCTACTCCAAAATAAACTAAAGTTTTTACATGGTATGCACATCGATTGTTACCATGGGGAAATATAATAAATTTTTTATATAGTATTTACGTAAAGATACTAACCTCTAAAGAGAGTAGCGAACCAAAACAAGATAAGCTGTAATTTGGAGGGGCAAATTATTAAAATAAATATTGCATAAACTGCCAATTAGGGGCAAGCTATTATAAAACATATTATAAAAAACCAGAAAACTTGATTTGCTGTCAACTAGGGGTATTTATTAAAAATAAGGGTAGCGATGCAAAATAAAAGCTGCAACCTAGGGACAAATTATTAAAATAAGTATTGCATAAGCTGCCAACTAGAGGGTCAAGTCATTATAAAACCCACTATATAAGCCGGGAAACATGACTAGCTAAAAATTAGAGGAACATTTATTAAAAAAACAAGAGTAGCAACCCAAAATAAGATAAACTGCATCCGGAGAGGCAAATTATTAGAAGAAGCATTGCATGAGGTGCCAGCTTAGAGAGTAAGTTATTATATAACTAATATGTATGATTTAGAAATGCATTCGAAACTAAGAGGGTGACTGAGAACTGAAACTAAAAAACATTAAAAACATAACTAAAAATTGAAACTAAAAAAAACTAGAAAAAAACCTAACTAAAAACTAAAACTAGGAGGCTAATTCTTTTGTGGCAACTTATGTGTACAATGGCTACCCTTTTGTAATAATTTATATATTATAGATGAGGCAACAGATATGCAGGATTTAGAAAGACATTCTAACCTAGAAGGGTGATTGAAATCTGAAACTAAAAAACTTGACTAAAAAATAAAACAAAAAAACTGGAAAAATACTTGATTGAAAACTAAAACTAAAAAATCATTAAAAAAACATGATCGATAACTGGAACTAAAAAAACTGAAAAAAAAAACTTGACTGAAAACTTAAATTGAGGGTAAATTCTTTTGTGGCAACTTATGTGTGCAATGACTATCCTTTGTAATAACTTATACATTTTAGGTGACGTAGAATTTAGGAAGATATTCGAACTAAAAAACTGACTGAAAATTGAAACTAAAAGATTTAAAAAACATGACTAAAAACTAAAACTGAAAAAAAACTGAAAACTGAAACTCCCAAACTAAAAGCGAACTAAAAAGAAACTCAAAACAAAATGATGAAACTGAACCTCTAAAACTGAAAAAGAAGAACTCACCAAAACACTAAAATACCTACCAATTATGGGAGGTGAAGCACTGAAATAGCTACCTAAGAATGAAACTGAAAAAGTAGAAGGGTCATTGATGTAATAATGAAATAACTAAAAAGGATGTTCATGGGAAAAGGAGTGTTCGTTGATGCTTACTAAGGATTCCTGGGTTAATTGTTGCAACTCGAGAAAAAAAACTAACACTTTGAAGACAACTTTGTGACAGTAGGATGGTTCATGGGAAAAAGTAGTAACTATAAATGATCTTGATTCACAGCAATATTCATGGAGTAATGTGACAATCCAAAGAATGATGCACAGAATGATTCTTGGAACAATGTAGCAGAAGAAGGCACTGAATTCTACCGCACAAAACTCCTGGAGTAGTCTGCCTGCAACACCAGTGGGCAATTTTAGATACTAAAGCAATCAGATTCTTAGGATGGCTGGAATGCTGTGCCTGCTGAAAACTCACAAGACAATGCTCAATGGAAAGAGAACTGATCTAACAAGGGCTGGTAATCAGATGGATGGGATGGCTGAAGGGGCCGCGGATGGCACCTGCAGGAGTCGCAACTACGTCAGAGCGGATGCAGAAAAGTAGAAACGATTAATACGCGCGGCGGATAGAGGGGATGCCTTCGATGACAGTCGAAGCAGCTCCTCCGTCGTCGTCCACCACAACTGGTGAACGAGCCGTAGATGGTTGATGCAGAAGCCCAACCACGATGGGGGGCAGATGCATGAAGAAGAAGGATTTGGACGCGGG